GTTTGTATGTAAGTTTTTATGGTTGTTAGTATTTTCCATACAAATTTTGCTGTTGCTGTATATACAACAATAAAAATTAAAGAATACCTAAATATACATACATATATTCTATTTTTATTTTGGAATGCCGACAGCCAGACAGAAGAAAAAAATTTAATAAAATTGGATTTATTCAGCTAGGACGCAGTTGATAGACTAAAAATAACATCAACTGCTTAAATTTTATAAAATGTGTTAAAATTTCCGTTTTAAATTCGTACTAAACTTTTAATATTAATGGAAAAAACATTGTTTTCTTTTATTTATTACATCACATGTTCACCCTAAAAATACGTATAAGTGTTAATGAATTCATTATGAAATCATATATTACTCATACGCCTTGGCTAATGAAAAGATTTTATTAATACTTTCTAAATAATCTCTGAACACAAAATTCTTCTATGTTACCAATTTAAAGATTAACTGAAACTATGATTCCTCTTATACTCGTTTAGTTGTTATCTTTTTAGTATATAAGCACACACTTGTGTACTCATATACAAGAGAGTATATATGTATATACATAAGTATCGGTGTATATATAGAAAAAAAGTAACCAAAATAAAAATTATTTTAATAATACTCGCATTTATTGTGTACATCACATACATACATACACACATGCGTTGGAATACAGTGTCAAAATATGCAAAATTTTTAAAATTTCGACATTTTTAACCTATAGTCTGGACTATAGTCTAGTCTATAGTCTAGTCTATAGTCTAGTCTATAGTCTAGTCTATAGTCTAGTCTATAGTCTAGTCTATAGTCTAGTCTATAGTCTAGTCTATAGTCTAGTCTATAGTCTAGTCTATAGTCTAGTCTATAGTCTAGTCTATAGTCTAGTCTATAGTCTAGTCTATAGTCTAGTCTATAGTCTAGTCTATAGTCTAGTCTATAGTCTAGTCTATAGTCTAGTCTATAGTCTAGTCTATAGTCTAGTCTATAGTCTAGTCTATAGTCTAGTCTATAGTCTAGTCTATAGTCTAGTCTATAGTCTAGTCTATAGTCTAGTCTATAGTCTAGTCTAGTCTAGTCTAGTATAGTTAGTCTATAGTCTAGTCTATAGTCTAGTCTATAGTCTAGTCTATAGTCTAGTCTATAGTCTAGTCTATAGTCTAGTCTATAGTCTGTCTATAGTCTAGTCTATAGTCTAGTCTATAGTCTAGTCATAGTCTAGTCTATAGTCTAGTCTATAGTCTAGTCTATAGTCTAGTCTATAGTCTAGTCTATAGTCTAGTCTAATAGTCTAGTCTATAGTCTAGTCTATAGTCTAGTCTATAGTCTAGTCTATAGTCTAGTCTATAGTCTAGTCTATAGTCTAGTCTATAGTCTAGTCTATAGTCTAGTCTATAGTCTAGTCTATAGTCTAGTATATTAGTCTATAGTCTAGTCTATAGTCTAGTCTATACTAGTCTATAGTCTAGTCTATAGTCTAGTCTATAGTCTAGTCTATAGTCTAGTCTATAGTCTAGTCTATAGTCTAGTCTATAGTCTAGTCTATAGTCTAGTCTATAGTCTAGTCTATAGTCTAGTCTATAGTCTAGTCTATAGTCTAGTCTATAGTCTAGTCTATAGTCTAGTCTATAGTCTAGTATATAGTCTATAGTCTAGTCTATAGTCTAGTCTATAGTCTAGTCTATAGTCTAGTCTATAGTCTAGTCTATAGTCTTCTATAGTCTAGTCTATAGTCTAGTCTATAGTCTAGTCTATAGTCTAGTCTATAGTCTAGTCTATAGTCTAGTCTATAGTCTAGTCTATAGTCTATAGTCTAGTCTATAGTCTAGTCTATAGTCTAGTCTATAGTCTAGTCTATAGTCTAGTCTAGAGTCTAGTCTATAGTCTAGTCTATAGTCTAGTCTATAGTCTAGTCTATAGTCTAGTCTATAGTCTAGTCTATAGTCTAGTCTATAGTCTAGTCTATAGTCTAGTCTATAGTCTAGTCTATAGTCTAGTCTATAGTCTAGTCTATAGTCTAGTCTATAGTCTAGTCTATAGTCTAGTCTATAGTCTAGTCTATAGTCTAGTCTATAGTCTAGTCTATAGTCTAGTCTATAGTCTAGTCTATAGTCTAGTCTATAGTCTAGTCTATAGTCTAGTCTATAGTCTAGTCTATAGTCTAGTCTATAGTCTAGTCTATAGTCTGGTCTATAGTCTAGTCTATAATCTAGTCTATAATCTAGTCTATAGTCTAGTCTATAGTCTAGTCTATAGTCTAGTCTATAGTCTAGTCTATAATCTAGTCTATAGTCTAGTCTATAGTCTAGTCTATAGTCTAGTCTATAGTCTAGTCTATAGTCTAGTCTATAGTCTAGTCTATAGTCTAGTCTATAGTCTAGTCTATAGTCTAGTCTATAGTCTAGTCTATAGTCTAGTCTATAGTCTAGTCTATAGTCTAGTCTATAGTCTAGTCTATAGTCTAGTCTATAGTAGTCTATAGTCTAGTATAGTCTAGTCTATAGTCTAGTTATAGTCTAGTCTTATCTAGTCTAGCTATTCCATTTTAAGTTCTTTTTTCCACTGTCTTTATTTGTCATTTTATTAACCTTGTACCATTAGTTTTAGTTGTATTGTAATACTCTTTATTATACCCACTCTCGATTGGTCGCTCTCTTTTCCTATTTCTCTTAAGTTTTTTTCATCCCTTAATACTACTAACAATTAACTAATATGACCCGGGTTTTTTGGTTGTGTGTTATTCTTGCTAAAGTTTATGATAACTGAATTTAAATTTATATGAAATCATTAGTTTTAATAAGTATGAAGTATAAAAGTAAATGTTCACTAAGATCAGAATTTATAGGAATTAATTAGTAATGGGCCTAAAAACGTTTTTATTATAATGTGATTAAAATTAATGTTAATACCTATTTAAAGCTTTTCATATTACTTTTCATATTATACATATTCAGTTATGTTCTAGTTCTGTATCACTAGAGTTGTAGTTCAGTTCTAGTTCAGCTCTAGTTTTGTTTTAGTTCTGTTCTAGTTCTGTTCTAGTTCTGTTCTAGTTCTGTTCTAGTTCTGTTCTAGTTCTAGTTCTGTTCTAGTTCTGTTCTAGTGCTGTTCTAGTTCTGTTCTAGTTCTGTTCTAGTTCTGTTCTAGTTCTGTTCTAGTTCTGTTCTAGTTCTGTTCTAGTTCTGTTCTAGTTCTGTTCTAGTTCTGTTCTAGTTCTGTTCTAGTTCTGTTCTAGTTCTGTTCTAGTTCTGTTCTAGTTCTGTTCTAGTTCTGTTCTGTTCTAGTTCTGTTCTAGTTCTGTTCTAGTTCTGTTCTAGTTCTGTTCTAGTTCTGTTCTAGTTCTGTTCTAGTTCTGTTCTAGTTCTGTTCTATTTCTAGTTTTGTTCTAGTTCTAGTTTGTTCTAGTTCTAGTTTTGTTCTAGTTCTGTTCTAGTTCTATTCTAGTTCTGTTCTAGTTCTGTTCTAGTTCTGTTCTAGTTCTGTTCTAGTTCTGTTCTAGTTCTGTTCTAGTTCTGTTCTAGTTCTGTTCTAGTTCTGTTCTAGTTCTGTTCTAGTTCTGTTCTAGTTCTGTTCTAGTTCTGTTCTAGTTCTGTTCTAGTTCTGTTCTAGTTCTGTTCTAGTTCTGTTCTAGTTCTGTTCTAGTTCTGTTCTAGTTCTGTTCTAGTTCTGTTCTAGTTCTGTTCTAGTTCTGTTCTAGTTCTGTTCTAGTTCTGTTCTAGTTCTGTTCTAGTTCTGTTCTAGTTCTGTTCTAGTTCTGTTCTAGTTCTGTTCTAGTTCTGTTCTAGTTCTGTTCTAGTTCTGTTCTAGTTCTGTTCTAGTTCTGTTCTAGTTCTGTTCTAGTTCTGTTCTAGTTCTGTTCTAGTTCTGTTCTAGTTCTGTTCTAGTTCTGTTCTAGTTCTGTTATAGTTCTGTTCTAGTTCTGTCCTAGTTCTGTTCTAGTTCTGTTTAGTTCTGTTCTAGTTCTGTTCTAGTTCTGTTCTAGTTCTGTTCTAGTTCTGTCCTAGTTCTGTTCTAGTTCTGTTTTAGTTCTGTTCTAGTTTCTGTTCTAGTTCTGTTCTAGTTCTGTTCTAGTTCTGTCTAGTTCTGTTCTAGTTCTGTATAGTTCTGTTCTAGTTCTGTTATAGTTCTGTTCTAGTTCTGTCTAGTTCTGTTTCTAGTTCTGTTCTAGTTCTGTTCTAGTTCTGTTCTAGTTCTGTTCTAGTTCTGTTCTAGTTCTGTTCTAGTTCTGTTCTAGTTCTGTTCTAGTTCTGTTCTAGTTCTGTTCTAGTTCTGTTCTAGTTCTGTTCTAGTTCTGTTCTAGTTCTGTTCTAGTTCTTTCTAGTTCTGTTCTAGTTCTGTTCTAGTTCTGTTCTAGTTCTGTTCTTTCTGTTCTAGTTCTGTTCTAGTTCTGTTCTAGTTCTGTTCTAGTTCTGTTCTAGTTCTGTTCTAGTTCTGTTCTAGTTCTGTTCTAGTTCTGTTCTAGTTCTGTTCTAGTTCTGTTCTAGTTCTGTTCTAGTTCTGTTCTAGTTCTGTTTCTAGTTCTGTTCTAGTTCTGTTCTAGTTCTGTTCTAGTTCTGTTCTAGTTCTGTTCTAGTTCTGTTCTAGTTCTGTTCTAGTTCTGCTCTAGTTCTGTTCTAGTTCTGTTCTAGTTCATTTACCGTTTATTGTAGAGCATTTTATTATTCTATACTCATTTGCTTAAAATTTCCATTTGTTTTCCTTTAAATTATTTCAGTTACTGTTAACCATTGTCTAGTGCTCTTTATGGGAGAGAGTTTTCCTTAATTAAGAGAGTAACCTTAAGTACACTCTTTAAAAACGTTATTATTTCTAGCATTGTAGCGGTATTTGTTATTAAATGTTAGGTTGAGTGTGTGCCTTGGGGGAGAGTGTAAAAGAGAATTATACGGTTTGCTGCTGAGTGTATGAGTTGGTAAGTGTTTGTGTGTGTGTGTCTGCTTTAAAGGTTATCCTGTGGGAAATTTTCTTTGCAAACATTTAGTTTATTTTTAGCCGTTAACTAGTAGAGTATAGACGCTTTTTATGAAAATACAAATAAGGAAAATAGAAAAAAAAAAACAAATTTCTTGTGCTGGTTAACTAAACACTGCTAACTACTACCAAGTATTTACTTTAACTGTCCCTTAAATAAAACGGTTTCTAAATTCAAATTATAACAAAATTATAATGTGTAAAATTGAAAGATTTTAAATAATTTCAAAAAAGATTTAAAACAATTGAATTGAAAGATTTTAAATAATTTCAAAAAAGATTTAAAACAAAAAAAGTTTTGTTTAAAGGTGACATTAAAAAGAAAAAAATTGATTAAACAATTTCATTAAATTAAACGTTGCCTAGGCAAATTATAGATAATTTGTAAAAGATAAACAACAGCAACATTAAAATAAATAAAAAATTAAGCGAGCAAAAAAAGAAAATTTAAATAAAATTTTATAAATTTTTAAAGAAAAAGTGTTTTTTATTACAAAAGAAAAAGGTTTCTTTGTTAAAATAAAACCAAAAATATGGGTTGTAATACTAGTCAGGAATTAAAAACCAAAGAAGGTTCCAACAATGCCGTTAACGGTTCGGCCCAAAATGATGATAATAACACTTGTGAACAAAACACAAATAATGAAGATGCCCAACAACAAAAGGGTGCGGTTTCCGGCGAACAACAAACCTCACAGACGAACTCAGCCTCAAACCATCAGCATTCGAAAACAAATTCCCTCATCTCGAATGGTGGTGGTGGTGCTGGCGATAACAGCCTTAATCACTCCTCGAAATCCTCGGCCAATTCTAAACAATCCACCGTATCGCCAGCCAAGGAGAATGTTTCATTGCTGAAACAACAAATACAATCATATAATAAAGCCGAATTAACGGAATTCAATGATATCGATATGGATGGTGAAGATGAAGGTGAGTGAGTCATAGTTCCACTACTAAGAAAAGCAAAAAAAAAAAGAAAATTTCCTTTAACAAAATCCTTTTTTTAAAGATTATTTTTCTAGTTTTATTGTATTTTATTTATTTAAATTACAATTTTTCCTTTTAAACATAACAAACTGTGTTTTTTTTCTAAAGGTGTGTTTTTTAGGGAGTTTCCTTTCAGTTTTTTTTGGTGTGTGCAAAAAACATTATTTTTATAGTTTATTCTAAAAAAAAATCCCAATTCCTAACCGCACACACACAAACACTCTAACAAAGTGTTTTTGTCAGTTGCTACCGTAGCTTTAGTTCGTATCCTTAAGGGATTATTTGATGATGTATTATTTAATGAGCACATTGCAAGAAACGACAAAAACGTTGAACAAAACTATGTAACATACTTTAGGGCTTTTTAATTTTCTATATTGTATTATTATTTTAAATTGCAAAAAAAGCTAGAAAACCACGACCATAAAAGTCGTCCTCATTTATTAAGGAGGATTAAAATTTTAATAGATTTTTTGTTTGACAATAAGAAATCAACCAAAAAAAACCGGCTAACAATCCCTTATGCGCAACAATAAAAGACTTTTTTAATATAACTAAAACATTTTTAAATTAAAAACCCAAACTTTGCAATTTTAAGGCAACAAATTGCTTAGTTTAGGGTTAAAGGAGGCAAAATTAACAAAACAAGTTACTTTTTTAAAGAAAAGAGCAACATTTGGAAAAAAAGTAAACAAATTTAGAAAATTTTTACTAAAGGACACAAGTTTACAACATTTTAAAACTCAATTTTTGGCTTAAAATAGTGCAAAATTGAAATTGGTACTAAAAAAGGTACTTTTAAAAAGGGGAAGCCTAAAAATGGACATAACTTGGGAAAATCTTAATAAAATAATAAAAAATTTAAAAGGACACAAGTTTCCAATAGTTTCATAACATAATTTTAGTTTAAAGAAAGTTCAAAACGAAATTGGTACCAAATAAAGTACCTTTCTAAAGGGAAAAAGTTAAAAATGAATATAATATAATAGAAATCTTAATAAAATAAAAAGAAATTTTAAAGGACTAAGATTTATTAATGTTACATGATAAAATTTTAGTTCAAAATAGGCTGAAATCGAAATTGGTACCAAAAAAAGTACCTTTTTTAAAGGGGAAAAGTTGAAAATGGACATAATTTAGGAAAATCGTAATAAAATTTTAAGAAATTTGAAAGGACACAAGTTTACAACAGATCCATAACAAAATTTTAGTTCAAGGTAGGCAGAAATCGGAATTGGTACCAAAAAAAGTACCTTTTTAAGGATGAAGCTACTTTTTGTAAGGAAATTTAAGAGAATAGGGTAAAAATTGAGTGTAAATGAAGGGAGTTTTAAAACTAACAATAAAGGACACTAGTTAACCATATTTGCTAATAAAATTTTGCCTTAAATTTGGCTGATTTTGAAATAGGTACCAAAAAAGTACTTTTTAAAGGGAAAAAGGAAGTTTTAAAGGGAATTTACAAAAATTAGGGCTTAAACTGGAATATAATTAATGAAACTTTAAGTGCAACAATAAAGGACGCAAGTTTAACGCATTTTGGTAACATAGTTTTAGTTCAAATTAGGTTAAAATGGTAATTAGTACCAAAAAAGTACTTTTAAAGGAAAAAGGAAGTTTTAAAGGGGATTTACAAAAAATAGGGCTTAAAATGGGATATAATTAATGAAACTTTAAGGGCAACAATAAAGGACGCAAGTTTAACACATTTTGGTAACATAGTTTTAGTTTAAATTAGGTTAAAATGGTAATTAGTACCAAAAAAGTACTTTTTAAAAGAAAATATAAGTTTTAAGAAACATTTACAAAAATTAGAGCTTAAAATGGGATATAATTAATGAAAAATAAAAGCTAACAATAAAAATTTTGGTAACAAAATTTTAGCTCAATGTGGACGGATTTTGAGATTAGTACCAAAAATGTACTTTTTCACAAGAAAAAAAAAAAAAAATAAATAAGTTTGAAAAGAAATCAACAACAATTAGGGCTAAAAATGGCATATAAATAATCAAACTTTAAAGCTAACAATAAAGAACACTAACTTACTACATTTCGGTCACAAAATTTTAGGTTAAATTAGCTTGAAATTAAAATTGGTACCAAAAAAGTACTTTTTTTAAGAAAAAATAGGTTTTAATAGGATTTTACAAATATAAGAGTTTAAAATGGTATAGAATTAATGAAACTTTAAAACTACCAATAAAGGACACAAGTTTATCTCATTTTGGTCACAAAAATTTAGATCAATGTGGGCTTTGAGAATTGTGCAAAAAAAGTACTTTTTTAAGAAAATTTCACAAAATGGGGAATCATTTAGGAATATGTTAACGAATTTGAAAATTCTTTAACAGGGGACACAAGCCTAATACATTTTGGTATACAAATTTTAACTTCAAGAAGGCTAAAAATGATATTGGTACTAAAAAAAGTACTTTTTCAAACAAAAATTAACTTTTTAAAGTAATTTAAAATAATTAAAGGCTATATTGTAATAGAATTAGTGAAATTGTTAAACTAATATTAAAGAACACAAGATTTGAGTATTCTGCTATGAAAATTTTAGTTCTATAGGTACTGATTTAGCAATAGGTACCAAAAAAGTACCTTTTAAAAGAAAACATAAACTTTTTAAGAAATTTTCAAAATTTACCGCTTAAAATTGGATAAAAATAATGAAATTTAAAAACTGTTAATAAAAAACACAAGTTAATAACATTTTATTAACAAAATTTTAGCTCAAAGTACTCTGAAATTGTTATTAAAAAGTACTTTTTAAGAAGAAAGTAAGAGAATTTTTAAAAAATCTTGTATAAATGGCTTTAGAAATAATGAAATTGTAACAGTAATAATATAGGACACAAGTTTTGTATAGTTTGCTATAAAAATTTTTAGTTGAAGTTTTCTAAAATTGAAATTGGTACCAAAAAAGTACCTTTTTAAGGAGTGCACCCAAAAAGTACAATTTAAAAGAAATTTATAAAATCTACGATAAGTAACAAAATTGTGTTAGTTTTAGTTAACAAAATTTTAGGTAAAAGTAAGCATAAAGTTATTTTGGTACCTAATTGTTGCAAAAAAGTACCTTTTTAAGAAAAAGCTTAATATAGGGAAAATGTTTAAACAGTTATTAAATTAAATAAAATTTCAAATAGATTTCAAGGGGTTAATAAAGTTTTCTTTCAAAATTTTTGTATACAAAAAGTACTTTTTCAAAAAAAAAAAAAAAAAAAAATAACTATAATATAAGTACCAAAAAAGTACTTTTTTTAAAGAAATATAAATTTATAGAAAATTTTATGTTTTTTTGTTAAAATTATTTATAAATTAAATTTTTTGGTACATTTTGTTTCAAAAAGTTTTGTACAAAAACGTAACAAAAAAGTACTTTTTAAAGAAATGTTCAATGTTGTACGCAATATGTTAAGAAATGGAAAATAATTGTAATATTTAATATAGGAAATGTGAAAAACTGCAATTTTTTTAATTTTGGTCTAAAAAAAATTTAGTACCAAAAAAGTACTTTTTTTAAAAAAATCAAAATTTTTTGAAAATTTTAATTGATTTCTTGTTAAGAATTAATAAAAATTAGTTATTTTTTGGTACTTTTGGCGCCAAAAATTTTGGTACCAAAAAAGTATTTTTTTTCTAAAAATGCTAAAAATGGGAAAATTTTGTTAAAAAATTAAAAATAATTGAAGGTAATGTTAAATAAAATATGGAAAGGAAGAATTTAATTGATTTTGGCCTTAAAAATAAAATAGTACCAAAAAAGTACTTTTTTAAAAAACTGATCATTTTTTGAAAATTTAAATTTTAAATGTTTTATTTTGCTAAAAATAACTAGAAACCACTATTTTGGTACTTTTGGTTCCAAAAATTTTGGTACAAAAAAAGTACTTTTTTAAAAAATGCCCAAAATGTTAAAAAAATTTAAAATAATTGAAATAAACAGTAAAAAATAAATAATAAAGAAGAACTTAATTGATGTTGGCCTTTAAACAAAATTAGTACCAAAAAAAGTACTTTTTGAAAAAAAGTGAAATGTTTGAAAAATTCACTTTAAATTGTTTTATTTTGTTAAAAAATAATGATCAACAACTCAAAACTTTTGGTACCAAAAAAAGTACTTTTTACTAAGAAGTGAAAATTGTGCAAAAAATATTAGTAAATAGAAAGTATTAAATAAAAAAAAACATTTGAAAAGTCCAAAATGTTTAAAAGATTTTATCATTTATTTTTTCAAAAGTTTAACCTGCTTTCTTCAAATTAATATCAATTTCAGTTTCTTTATCTTCTTTTCAACTTTTAAAACCTTATAATTTATTTATTTGTCTGCAAATTGTTTGCCAGTCATTCTATCTAACTCAGTATGTCGTCTATCTCTGCTATCTTTTTCGCCTTTTTTTCACTTAACATTAATATTCGGTTTGTTTTTACAACAAGCAAACAAATGTCACATTAATTTTGATTTTAATTTGAGTTTATACTCTCTGCAATATACCAACGAATGGCGCCATTTCCATTACAAAATAATTACAAGTTTATTTTTCACTTCTAAAACGTTTTTATTTAAATTGTACAACGGCTTCAATTTAAATACACATACACACTACTACATTCTACTAAAAGGATTCATAAATATATTAATAGCAAAAGGATATGTTTATTTTTGGAAATTTTGCACCCATTAAAACTTTAGCTGAAAAGAGTATAAATATGTAATTCCATTAACAAAAATAAACATTAACATAAATATTTGGGGGAAATATTGTGGTTTTCAAGAAATTTTACTTATAATGTAATTGCTTTTCTTTTAATGTCAGTTGTCATTGGTTTTTTTGGTGAATGAAATGTTTTTCCATATAAATATTTATATTTCAGTTATTTATATCAATCATAATTTTTGGCATATTATTTTCCTTTATTTTTGTGGATTCTTTGAA